TCGGTCCGTCCATCCCTCCATCCCTCCATCCGTCCCTCCCTCCATCCGTCCGTCCCTCCATCCGTCCGTCCCTCCATCCGTCCGTCCATCCATCCGTCGGTCCGTCCATCCGTCCATCCACGGATACCGAGGGCAGGCCCCGTATTCCAGTGCGAGGCGGCCTAGGGCCACCGGGGAGGAAGAGAGCAGGCTTTGCAGCCCTTTGAGGCCCACGTCGGTTTCTCCTCATCCTGTTTGTCCTCCCGCAGACGCCACGCCTCATGGTTGGAGGTCTTAGGACCCCCTCGCCCTGGGCCCCGAGAAAGGCCCTTGTGGGCAGGCAAAGGGAGGCCCCTCTGAGTCAGCAAGGCCATCCGGGAAGAGGCTGGCCCGCGGTGGGCACTCGGAGCATTTAGGGTTAGCAGATGAAGGCAGCGGGCCCGTCCACGATCAGGGAACTGTCTGGTTTGGGTGGCTTCAGACTCCGTGCGGCAGCCGACTCTGGGTAGATCTGGAGGAGGTTGGAGGGCCAGCCCCCCGAGGGCAGCCTCTTTATCTTGCGTCTGAGTAGCGGGAAGATGAGTCCCTTGCAGGTAGGCCGCTGCTGTGGCGCTCTGAGCTTCATTCAGAAGGGGCCGTTTTCACTGCATCGTTAAAAAAAAATCTCCCAGCGGACTCCCCGTGAAGGACCCCGCGAGTGTGAACCACCGCCATCTTGTTCCACGTCTCTCACCGTCCCTCCCCCTGGCCCCGCCGTCCTCCAGGCCAGGCCTTCTGTCTTTCGTGTGCTCTCCTCCGACGTACAACAGCCCTCCTGTCCCGTCTGTTTCTCCCAAGCGCCCCCTTCTCCGTGAGGCCATCCCTCATCCGCGGGGCGGGGCGGGGCTGGGGGGCAGGGCCTGAGGAAAGGACCACAGAAACGGTAGGCCCCCCGCCTTCCAAGAGGCTTCCTCCTCTCAGGTCGGTGAAGGCCATAGTTAGGTGCAGGATAAAGGCCCCTGGAGGCCAGGCGACGCTGAGAGGAGGCCTTCCCATGATAAGTGGGGTGGGAAGACCTGGGGGCACCTTGTGGCGCCGGCTCTCTGCTTGGTAAGCGCCAGGCACTGACCCTCCTCCTCTCTTGTAGTGTGACATGCTGATGCAGGGCGTGGCCCCAGGGGAGAGCAGCCCCGCCCTGTTCTCCCTGCTCTGGTCAGTGCAGGGCAGCCTGCTGTCCTGGTGCTACCTGCAGCTGAAGGGCAGTGAACCACGGGCCAAGAAGCTGGCTGTGGAGATGGTGGAGAGATGTGAGTGGGAGCTTGTCTGGCCCTCCCGGGGCCTCCTGGGGGGCAGGGGGAAGGAGGTTGTCCCATGCAGTGCCCCCACACCTGGGTGCCTCCCTCGCCGGTGGTCTCCCAGGCGTGGTGGCATCGCCCTGTCCCTGCCCCCATCCTGCTCACACCCCTGTCTCTCCCTTGGCCGCAGAGCTACATGGTGACTGAGCAGGAGGTAGTCGTGTCATTTAAAACGCTGAATTGTTTTCATTTTCTTTTGTTAGATGTGGGACAGTTCCTGGCCAGCATGAGAATAGTTTTGCGGTCACTTTTGTCCCAGTATGGTGGAAAAAAAATAGTAGAAAATTTGTGTAACTCTGTGTTTGCCATGGCAACTCGTCAGCTGGTGAGTGAGTCCCAGGGACAGCTCTTGTGGCTGGGCGCTGGGGCGCTGCCTGGCGCAGCTCTGTGACGGCGCCTTCTCCCTGCTCTGCAGGTCATCTTCCTGCTGGACTTCTGCCCCTTGGACATCCCACACTTGGCGCTCTTGAAGGAGTTCAGCACCTTGACAGACCTCTTGAAGGACCTCTGCAGTGACCCCGATGGAGGACCCAATCAAGTAACTCTCGCTTTGTGTTTCTTTTCCTGCCGGCTTGGGAAGTGTGCGAGCAGCCCCTTCCTCCTGGTGGGCCTCCCCGCTCCCCTTCTGTAGTTTGCTTCCCAGCTGTTCTGCCCTTTGGGACGCCAGGCCCCGTCAGCACTTGCGGTGTTGAGGGAAGGCGCTGTCTAGCTCAAGCGCTCTCCCCGGCGTCCTCCAGCGCAGGGCAGGCCATATGCAGCGTCTCGGATCTGCGGTAGTCAAGCCGAGGTCCCAGAAGGACGGGGCTTCTGGCCAGAAACCCAAGGGAACCGTTGGCAGTTCTGGGGAACCCAGGGCCCCCCTTGGCTCCTTCTGAGGGGAAAGTCGTGACTGTTTCCGTAGAGCTGCGTGTGGGCCCCGCGTGTGGGGCTGGGCTCCCAGGGAATGCAGCGCTAACAGCGCTTTCTCGGGTGTTTCCTTGTCTAGAAGGACATGGACATCTGGCAGCAAGAGAAGCCGGTGGTGTTGAATACCTGGGCAATGGAATCTGCCCATAACTATAGCAACAATTGCCACGAGGTGGCTGTCTTCTTGAGCCCTGGGGCCACCTCCTTTGAGGTGGAGTTTGATGACAAGTGTGAAACTGAGACCAGGTCAGTGTGGTGGCTTCCTGCGCAGCCCTGCCCTCCCTTGGCCAGGGAGCAGGGGAGAGTAATGGAGGACGTTGTCTCTGCAGATATGATTACCTGGAGTTCACTGATTCTCGAGGCACAAAGACCCGCTATGATACCAAAGTCGGCACAGACAAGTGGCCCAAGGTGAGGGTCGTGATCAGGGCAGAGAAGGGATCTGGCTCAGCTGAGGGCCTGGGGCGTGGGTGGGGCAGGTTCCTGGGCCCACAGTGGCTCCTCCCCTTCTTCGGGGCGGGGGGGGGGGGGGGGGGGGGGGGGGGAATGAAAAGCTCTTGTCTGGCGCCAGCTAGCAAAATCCTGTCTCCTTGCCTTCTAGAAAGTGACCTTTAAGGCCGGCCCCCAGCTGCACTTTCTCTTCCACTCGGACAGCAGCAACAACGAGTGGGGTTACAAGTTCACTGTCACGGCCTACGGCCTGCCAGATGTGGCCGTGTCCTGGGGCCTGGACCTGCAGCTCCTGGTGTCCAGGCTGATGGGGCGCTTGGCCTCCCAGTGTCTGGCCTTGCGAGCAGATCGTAAGTGGCTTGGTCAGTCGGGTGACTGCGTGCTGAGTGAGGTAGGGGCAGGGTGGGGTGGGGCGGGGCAGCCCCGCTGAGGGGCTGCTTGGAGCTTTCTAAAGCCCCCGTAGGCACAGGAACCACACAGCTGGTCTCATCTTCCAGTGACCACCGTGGGAGATCACAGAGCTGATAAGCAGGCGGGTCCCTCAGACGAGCCACCGGGCCTGGGTTCGAATCCAAGCTCTGGCCCTGACTTGCCTCGGGACCCTCGGCAAGCCCCGTGGGGTGTGGTCTTCCCGAGGAAAGAGGAGGATGCTGAAAGGCCGCCTTCTCTTTTCAGAGTTAGGGGGTGACGTGGGACTGCCCATGGCCAAAGTGACACCCGTCCTTCATTCCCCTTTGTGGAAACCAGTCTTCAGGCACCAGCTGTGCCCGGAGGAGGACCCGGGAGCCTGTGGGCCCACTCCTTCCCCCCAGGATGCCAAAGAGGTATGAGCTCTGCTCGGGAGCATCTCCCAGGCCGCAGGGAGGGAGGGCGGCCGTGGCAGTGTCTCCACCTTCCCTGCGTGGCTTGGCAGAGCTGCGCGCAGTGCCTGGCACCTTAATAAATGGTGGTCGGTGGGTCGATCCTGTCCCCAAAGGGCAGGCCTCTTAGGGCTGCCGCCCACCTTGCCCTTGAGCTCCGGTCACTCCAGCAGGGTCTCCAGGTGTTTGGATCGAGTCTGCCAGCGTTCGTGCAGATGGACAGACTGCTTTCCGCTGGCCAGGAGTGCCTGGGGGCACACGCATCTGTCACGGATTTCTCTGTTAGGGCCGGGGTCCTGCCGCCGCCAGAAGGCTCCGCGGTTACTCCCTGGGGAATCGGGGCCTGTCCGCCACCTTCCGCTCGCTCATGCTTAGCTCCCCCCAGAACGTCTGAGCATGTGCCTGCACCCCCACCCCCTCTCCGAGCGAACTCCGAGCCCTGGCTCGTGTCTGTCCTTTGGGGCTGAGCTGCAGCCCTCGAGCTGGCGGCTGACGCCTCGATGCTTCTGTTTTGTTTTCCAGAGTCGGAGCGCTCAGGCTGACGTCTGCCGCGACCTCCTCATAGACTTCGCAAAGTCAGACCCTGCCCAGGGCTTCTGTGGGCAAAGTCCTGAGCTTTTCCAAGGACTCACACAGGCATGTAAAAAACAGGCCCCGCAGACAGATAGTGTTGCCGGTTCCGCTGTGGATCGAGCCGTGAACGCCGCGTTTGCCGCGTTGGTGTATCTCACGCCGCAGCTGTATGAGAAGCTGCAGAGCTATGGTAACTGTCCCCTGCCAGGCCGGGCTGGGCCGGGCTAGCTAGCGACAGCCGCGCTGCTCTCGGGGAGCTCCCGCCGCTGGCAGCCGCCTTACGTGCAAAAGAGCAGGTCATTTCTCGTTCTCTCGGGGCGAATGAAATGCCAGGGGTGCGGGGAGAAGACACAGAGGTGCCCCTGAGTTTTCTGAGGACCCCAGATGGAGGAATGTACATCTGTCCACATTTCACGAGTCCTGATTTCCTCCTTTGATAGACCCACCCGAGGGTGCCTGAGGAGTCTGGGGATGAGGGTGGGATGGGCCCGGGCACGTGCGGAGTTTCTGGGCCTAGAGGTAAGGCAAGCATGCCCTCCGGCCAGGTCCTGGGGGGTCCCCAGAATGGCCTCTGTCCTAGAGCTGCCTCTAACTGCCCCGGAGAGGCCTCCGTCACCGGGAGACTGGAAGTGTCTAGAAGGCAGGGGCTGCTTGCCATTTTGGGGCTTTTTCCCCTTTGCATCCTCTATTTCTTAGAGCACCTAGCACCCAGCGGGTTTGAATAAATGCCTCCAAGGCCTTTAAAACCTAATAGGGTGGAGTCCCTGGACCTGCTGACTGTGCTGTGAAGGACAAAGTCATGAGGGGCCAGGCAGAGACCAAGAGACATCGGGGGGGGGGGGGTCCCAGGAGGGACTCCTTTCTCTTGAGATCAGGACAAGGTTCCTCGGGGGTGTGGTACCTGAGTATCTGGAAGGGACACGGGCAGGGGCTTCACCCAGGGCACCAGGAGGCCAGAGGAGCCTGTGCCAAATCATCTCAGATGCGGCAAGGCCAGAGCAGGTGGTTGCTGGAGGAGTCTAGGGAAGGGAGAAGTGGCTGGAGGGCGGGTGGCATTGGGCCTTGAACAGCCACAGTAGCATTCGGGACAGCGTGAGGGTTACATGGGAGCTCAGGCTATGTGGGGAAGCTTCTGAGGGTAGCGGAGAAGACGGCATTGCAGAGAAGTGACCTAGAGGCAGCGGGAGCAGTGGAGGCATCGTCAGGAGCCGTGACAGCGCTCTGGCTGGCCGGGGCCTGGGGCCTCCCTGTGTGCGGAGACGCTCCTCGGGGCCCTTTGCCATGACCTCTCCTGGGGCCTCCCTGGGTTTCCGGCCGAGTGACGAGGCTCCGCCAATCTCTTCTCAGGCCAGATGGGCGGCCCCAGGAGCATGTTAGGAGGAGGGGCCGACTCCCCATGCTGGGCAAAGGCCGGGCCTTTTGGCTCTTTCTCGCTCCCGGATGGCATGTTGTTTGTGGGTCTGAGTGGCCGGTGTTGGCAGGGCACCTGAGATGCGGCTTTGTCTCAGCTTCCTTGCTGGCGTCCCTCCGCCACAGTGTGGGAGAGTGGACGTGGCAGGGGGCGTGTGCTGGGGACCACTTAGGTTCTCCTGGAGTCGTATCGAGGTGACACGGGGCAGCGGTGCTGTGACCAAGCTGGAACCGTCCGGGCAGCCGGGCCCCACCGTGGAGATTTGTCTGTTAGAACACTTTGGGTGGGGCAGGGGAGAGTCGGGGTGGGCTGGGGCACCTGCTGCCATTTGCCTCCTGCCATGTTATAGGCACCAGGTGTGCTGTCGGGACATTCCTTTTGTGGTCTAGGGGAGAGAAGTGGGCTGGCTGGTGACCGCGTCCCTTCTCTTTTCTCCCCAGTTAACAGTGGGGGCCAGGGGGTGCTGAGTGAGGAGTTTGCCCAGGTGTACGCCCTGGCCGAGGGCATTAGGATATGGATGGTAAGATGGTTTTTTGGGTGGGCATGGCCCCTCTTGGCCCTCTGCTGACTCTCAGCTCTTAGAAAGGGGGTGGACGGCGAGGCGACCTCTCCCGTGGTCTCCACGTGGTCTGAACAAACCTAGCCCGCACATTGCACTTTCAGGCTTGGGGAATGTCACGTCAGGGCCCATCGTGACCCTGCTTGAGCCCCATGATAGCAGGACGGGCCGTGTTGTCAGCACTCTGGCCCCTGCCAGGGATGTGCTCTGTTTCTGGGATATCTCTCCTTTTTAAGTGATTTCCTTGGGCCATGACATCTGCCAGACCCTAATGACTTGGATCAACTCCTCTTCCCAGTTAGAAATGAAGCAAAAATTCTTGCTGGACAAGGGAGACAAGATGGAAGGAGAGCTGGATGCCGACATGCAGGAGGTGAATCCGGAGAGCCTGGGTCAGTGTCCTTGCGCCTTCTCGGGCTGCCTTGTGCTCGTTTAGCGTCACCACGGGGAGCTCTAGACAGTTTAGAGAGGTGGCTGAGGCCCCAGCTAAGAGGCCATTCAACACGCTTGTTAGACATCTATTGTACGGATGGCGCTGGGCTTAGCAGTGGTGATAGAGAGATGAGACGTGACCGTGTCTCTGTGCTCGGAATTGGGAAGAGAAGTGGGAGGCAGTCACAGAGAAGGGGACGAGCGTGTAAGAGCTTCCTCTGGGCTGGCCATAGTGTGGACGAAGCGATTTACAAAGGGCTCATTGGGGAGGCCAGGGCAGAGAGATGCAAGGGTGGCGGGGGGAGGTGCCCCGGGGACAGCCTGGAGGAGGAGGGAAGATACAGCTTGCAGGGGACGGTAGTGTGGCGGCCCTCCAGGGCCAGTCTGCTCAGGGCACCCAGGGCGGCAGCCGGGATGGCGCCACGATGGGCGGCGGATGGGATGGCGCTATGATGGGTGGTGGTGGGATGGCTCCACCGTGGGCGGTGAATGGGATGCGCTACAATGGGTAGCGATCAGATGACGCCATGATGGGCGGCGGCCAGGATGGCGCTGCGATGGGCGGTGGATGGGATGTTGCTATGATGGGTGGCAATCAGATGACGCCACGATGGCAGCGACTGGACTGGCACCACGATGGGCGGCATCTGCCGTCAGCGGGCGCAAGATCCTCGGCTGTTTCCTGCACCCCTCCCACGCCCTGTCTCGTGCTGCTTTTCCCCCCTCAGCCCGACAGTGCACTCAGAAGAGTCTTTTGTTGCTGCAATTCCTGCCCGTGGGAGCGAGGTCCAGAGCGGGTCCTGGGGAGGCGTCAGTAGGCCCAGATGAAGCCGCGGACCGCCAGCTGCAGAGCCGTGGGCACAGGGGCGGCTCCATGGGGGACGAGCACTTCCAGGCCTCGGGGCCCGAGAGCCCCCGTCAGCAGGCAGAGGCCTCGCCGGCCCCTTCGGGCATGCCCCTGGAAAGGAGCGCTTCACAGCAGGAAGACGTGGTTTCTCCTCCGTCCACGCCAACCCGCAAACCGGCCCTCGGTCGAGGACGCCTGAGGCTTCTCTCTTTCAGGTCTGTGGAGGAGGCCCGGCCAGTGCCCACGGTGACCGAGAAATACCCCTTCCTCAAAGATGTGATGGACTTCATTAAGGACCAGACGCTTTCCCACGAGAGGTGAGCGTGCCGGAGCTGGGGGGCCAGGAGAACTTCCCGTAACATGGGGGGCTCGCCAGCCCGCCACCCTTCAGATACCCAGGCTGAGACCACTCTTGGCAGCCTTGGCGCGTGAGGCTCGGCGGCTGTTCAGGCTGACGGGCTTCTCCCGGGCGGTGGAGGGTCTGCGTTGGGGAGGTGGGCCGTCTGACGGTCCCGTCTGTCCCCCAGCGTTTTGAAGGTCCTTTCTCTGAAGAAAGCCCAGGCCGAGAGCGTCCTGGCTGCCCTGCAGGCAGCCCTGCGGTGCCTGGAGCTCCTCGGGCGGCCTCACTGCTTCCAGCCCCCCTGTCTGCTCTTCCTGCTGGAGCTGCTTACCTGCCAGAAGGACTTCACCAGGTGAGTGCGGGCCGTGCACGGCTCTCTGGGAGCTGCGCCTCACCCTGTCCTGGCTTCCCCGGGTCCCTTGGCTTCATGCTTGGGTGAATCGTCACATCCCCTGCTTGTCTGGGCACGTCGCTGCTCGGACATCTCCCGAGTGACCCAGGCTGCCCGTGTCCCTCTGTTTTCTAGCTATTTTGGACACCTGGAGGGCTGCGGGGCAGAGCTGCACAGAGAAATCCGGCACGCCTACCACCGGCTTGTCCGGTTCGTGGTGGATGCCGTGAAGGGCTTTGGGGCCCTCGAGGACAGGTACGGGGGACGGCCCCAAAGGGAGGGGGTCAGGCGCAGAGGTCAGCGCTGCGCAGCGAGGACGCTGGGGGAGAAGGCCGGCCTCCTCTCTCGCCTGGGCGTTCTCTCAGCCTCAAAGTCTCTGCCAGCTCCGACCCCGCTGGTGTGGGGCAAGTCTGCCTGCGAGGGATTGGGGAGATCCTCGGTCTCCTCTGTGCATGCCGTGGCCTGTCCCCCACGGGGGTCTTTGACGTAGATCAGAGGATGGACTCTGAAACGGGAGGCCTCCCAGGGGGCTGAACCGGCACTTGTTGGGCGGTGGTGAGCCCCTGGCTCCCGTCCCAGTGGTGGTGGGAGGGAGACCCGTCCGGCTTCCTGCTCGTGATGTGCCTCGTGGGCTTCTTCAGGTCACTGCTCCCTGCCTTGTCCTGCGTTCAAGCGTCCTTGCTCCATCTTCTGGATATGGGCTGGGAGCCCAGCGATCTCCCCTTCCTCCTGGACGTTGGCTTGCCAGAGCTGCTCATGACCATGTCACAAGAAAACATAAGTCTGCATGACAGTGTGATTTGGTGAGTGTGCTGGGGATCGGGCCCCTCCCTAGGACCAGAGGGAGAGGACTCCCAGGCGGGGCTCCCGTGTGCTTCTGAAAGCCTGATGGAAGGTCCGCTTGTCCTCAGTGCACACCTGGCCAGACTGCTCTGACTCTGCCAGCGGCAAAGCGGCCTGGCCTAAGGGACCATCCCCCAACCCGCCAAGTCCTGGAGTCTGCAGAGCAAGGGAGGCTGGGGCGGGGGCAGGGGGTGAGCGCCGTGGGGCGTAGACACACATCTTTTCTGGGACTTTTGGCTAGAAGCGGGGAGGTGGGTCTCCTCGCCTGGCTCAGAGGCATTCTCAGTCATTGTTCCTCTCCGCCAGCTCTGGAGATAGAGTTGGGCCAGAGCCCTGATTACATCTGGCATTCCCCATTTGTTTGGCCACGGATGCCCTCACCTAATCGTCTCCCCGCTTCGGGCATCCCCTCTAGGTCACCTCATTGCTGGTGCCTTCCGGATGCTGTCTGAGCACACGTTCCTAGTGTCAAAAATCCTCTTGTGGGCGCTGGCACTGAGGCAGAGCCTCAAAGGTGGCCAGTCCTTCTCTTTTGGGGTTGCTCTGACCAGGAGAAAGTCTTTCCCCTGGATTTGGCTGAGCTCAGCTCCTCACTGGGACCCTCCTGGGTCCTGACTGCCCTGATGGCCCTGTGGACATTTGAAGACCTCTGCCTTCCCTCTTCCCCCCTTTTCCCCCACCCACCTTCTCTGCCTCTTCCCCCCCCACACTCGTCCGCCCCAAGCCAGACACCAACAGTTTGCTCATGCGATGTGATTTCCATCATCTTCACTATTCTGGGCGACCTCCGGAGCCCAGCCGGGTAAAGCCAGCGCAAGAATTTCTTCCCTTCCTCCGCGTGTGGCCCAAGGCGGCCTCAGTTTTCCCGGCACCGACGTCATGCTGCTGGTGCCCACTGAGCACTGACTCTTTCATTTTGGTGGGTGTTGCCTCCCTAGCTAACTTGGGGACCCCCTTGAGGGAAAAGAATGGCTTCTGTTCTTGATGTCCCCCCAAGAACCCCAAGAATGACGTGTTGCCCTACAAGAGCCATGTGGGGGGGCCATGGATAGCAAGCTGGCCCTGAGCTCACAGGGGAGGGAGCATGTATTAGGAGCTTATTATATGCAGATCTGTGGGCAGGGTCTGCAGGTACTGAGGGAAACATCCCAGGGGAAAACAGCTGTCAGTCAGAGGGAGAGGCCCAGGCCAGCATCTCAGGTGTAACGGGGAGCTGTAGGACGGGTCAGACGTCTCCTGAGTTCCCACTGGCTGTGGAAGGGTGGCGCACCTGCAGGGATGTGACCAGGCTGCCTCTGCAAACCCATGGTGTCCTGCGATGACGGCCCAGGGTGCTGGGCCGGAAACCTGGCTGCTCCCAAGGCTCTTGGGCCTGGCACCCATCAGAGTCTGAGGGGACATGCGGTTCCCTGCAGGCTGCCTCCCTTCTGCCCTGGTGAGCGGCACTTGGTTGGGAGTCGGGAGGGATGGCTGGCCCCTTCTCCACAGGAGGATGGTTGGGCTGGAAGCAGGAGCCGTGGTCTTGGCGATGGGAAGGGGCAGGGAGCTGCGGTGTCCTTTCCAGGGCTCCTGTGCTTCTGTGGGCCCCTTGGTGGCCGTCACATAGCAGTTGCTTGTCTTGGTAGTGAGGGTGACGGAGCTGTGGTGTCTCTACAACCCTTTCTTCCCTCTGTGATGGTTAGGGGGCTGTCTGGTGGTGCAGGGGACCTCGCTTTTCCCACAGTTCTTAGATTCAGGATCCCGGTCTGTTTCAGGAAGACACAGGCTCACCCTCCACCCTGGACGTACACTGGCTGTGTGGGCCTGGGCCAGTCTCTTAAGGTTCTGGGTGCAGAGCCCATCCCAAGCTTTGTGGGCAGAGGGTTCTTGCCAGTGGTTAGCGCATCCGTTGTCAAGTTTACCTAGATTGTGAGGAACACCTTAACAATGTCTCTGTGCCTCTTCTGTCCTCACCCTGCAGCTGGATGGCGGCTGGGAGTGGTGTCTGGAATGGGGTGCCCTGGGATTGGCGCTGGGTTCTAAACCCAGCTGGTGTTCCCTCTTTTCAGCAGCAGGGAATTCCAAGGGAAACCAGTCATAGGAAATTTGGGGACCAAAAGCATTCAAGCAGGTCCCCCGAGTTCAGGCCAAGAGCCTCAGACTCAGTTCCCTTCCACCTGGGGGACTCCGGGCTTCTGTGAGGTGCCGCTGTTGGAAAAGGAGACCTGTAAAGGGTTGCGGCATCTCCTGCCCTGAAGGGCTGCAGGGAGCAGAGGGAAGGACCCGGATGGACTTGGAGTCAGGAAGGCCCTTCAGAAGCTTGTTGGCAGGATGGCCGACGAGGCCCGGCTCCCTGAGCCGCCGCGGGGCCGGTCCCCCCTGCGGCACCGAGGCCCCATAAGCTCGTGGGCCCATGTGAGCCGAGGTCACCCCCTCGTTGTACTCGAGGACACGACGGAAGCTTCATTGAGGTCAGATCCACTAGTGGTCCTTTTCTTATAGAATAGTGTCTTCCTTCGTGGCAGAATCACAGCTGAAAACCTGCCCAGAAAAGAACAAAGACGCCAGAATTTCCGCTCTTGGAGTCAGCCCGAAATAGCGGCCTGTTCATCCCGGAGAGGGACAGGGAGTTAACTGGCTCTCCGCCCTCGCCTATCTGATGTGTGGGGCTCCCCGCCGCGCCCTCTTTCCACCTCTTCTCTTGGGCTGACCTCATCAGCTCCCAGGAGTGCACTTACTCTGTGACCACGTGGATCTTTCTTTCCTCCCACGCCCTTGCCCTGGCCTGGGCCTTCGCCCTCTGCCTCTCAGCCATTGCCGTAGCTGTCTCCTAAAGGTGGCTGGGTGGTACAGTGCACAGAGCGCCGGGCCTGCTGTCGGGAAGGCTCATCTCCCTGGGTTCAGATCTGGCCTCAGACACTTAGTAGCTTAGCTGGGTGACCCTGGGCACGTCGCTTCACCCTGCTTGCCTCAGTTTCCTTAACTGCAAAATGAGGATCTTGGAGAAGGAAATGGCCCACCACCCCCATATCTCTGCCGAGAAAACCCCAAATGAGGTCACGGAGAGGCAGACACGACTGAAACGACTGAACAGCGAGCCTCGTTGGCTTCCACTCTGACCCAGCCCCTCATGGGTCACCACTGACCACATCTTATTTATAGAGCAGAGGTCTGACGGAGTTGTTCTCCAGCCCAGGAAGCGTCGCTGACTCCCGTGGGCCTCTGGAATCCAGTCCGCTCTCCTCTGTGTGCTGCTGCCTTTCCTTCCTCCTTCTGTATCACTCCCTTTCACATCCTGGGCGGTCCGGACAAGCGGCTTCCTTGCTGTCCCTTTCGATCTCTGGTCTCCTTGCCTTTGTGCAGGCAGATTTCTTCTTCACCTCCGCCTCTTGGCATCCCCAGCTTCCTCCAGAGTGGAGAACATCTCTGTTCTGGGGAGTGGGGGCGCTCTCCGACGCCCTGTCCACCCCAGCCGCCGGTGCCTTCCCTCTCAGGATCACTGTCGCTCGTCGTTTATGTACTCAGATGTAAGCCTCTCGAGGGCGGGCACTGTTAATTTCTGTCATTTTCTCCCCAGCGCCTGGTGTGTAGTCCGTGCTTAATAGGCACCGTTGATCAATTGACCAGCATGCTGGGTTGGCGCTCTGTGTCGTGCCAGCCCTCTGAACCCTCTGTCCTGCCGCGTTCTCTCCTTTCAGCCAGTGGAGCGAAGAAGATGAGATGGCTGCCTACAGAGAGACGACGGAGTGGATGGAGGAGTGCCGGGACGGCATGTTCGAGGCCTGGTATGAGAAGATCGCCCAGATGGATTCAGAGAAGCAGAGGAAGGTGTGTCCGGCGGGTGGTCCCGGGAGCGGCGGTGCCTGGCCGCCGCTGCTCCGTGACTCAGTGGCGCTATCTCTGCCATTGCAGATGCACATGTTCATCGCCCGCTACTGCGATCTGCTAAACGTGGACATTTCGTGTGATGGGTGTGATGAAATCGCCCCCTGGCGTCGCTACCGCTGCCTCCAATGTCACGACATGGACCTCTGCAAGACTTGTTTCTTGGGTATGGTTCCTTGGGCAGGGGCAGGACAGCTGAGCAAGTGCCCCGCCTCTGCAGGGCGTGGCGTGGAGGGGTGGCCTTCCACTTGGGAGCTCCTTCATGGTGGGCGTCGGACACAGCTGCGGTCACTCCCCTGTGCCAGGCCGTTGTCACCACCCCACCAGCCTGGGTTGCCCCTCCTTGCCCCCTGGTGGAACAGGGAGTGCTAGACGCGGAGTCAGGAAGACCTGGCCTGGATCCTGCCTTGGGTTCCCCCTTTCTAGAAAGGAGGGCTCGTGACCACGGCAGGTCGTGGTGCTGAGCCTCACTGTCCTCATCCGTGTCTGAGGAGAGCGGCGTCTTCTTGTCAGGGCCACGTAAATGGAGAGAAGGCCGTGGGCCTGGTCCTTGGGCGCACTGCCCACGTGAGGAGTCCCTGTGCCTTGCCTGCCCAGAGGATACACTGAGTGCTCTAGAACAGCCTTTGGTTTGGAACCCTGGTCACTAACTGGAGTGCTGTCATTGGGCCAGCCTCAAATTCACTTACCTAAGCGCTCTCCGCCATCCATCTTGTCTTGCCCACGCTCCTGCACCGTGCTGGATTCGGCATTCCCATGGCCTGGCCACATCCCTTTCTTACTGTCCACAGTCTCTCTTACATAGCGTGGGCCAGGGCGTTTGCCTGGGCTTGCTCTTCTCATCTCCTTTCTCCGTGCCCTGGCCTGGGTTCTAGGGGCCTCTCATCCGTTTTGTGGGGCTCTGGCAAGGCGTTCTCCTTCAACGTCGAGGAAACCAACACTGGAAGATAGGGTCGTTCTGCCTTCCCCTTTCCTTCCGCCCCCTTCTCTCTGTCATTCCTCCATCCATTCCACACAGTGAGCCTGGCCCCTGGCGCTGCCAGAGGTTTCCATCAAGTCTGTGTGGGTTTCTTCCTGCAGGCCAACTCACCACTGCCCTTCACACCCCTTCAGTCTCTCGAGATCACTCAAGAGTGTCCCTTCCCTTTTCAGCTAACTTTGCTTATGGAGCTGTATTAGCCCTTGACCTTCTGTTGGTCCTTTCTTGACCTTCTTTTTTTTTTTTCTTAAAAAAATTATTTATTTTTAGCTTTAATTTTTAAAAAATTGAGTTCCAAATTTTCTCCATCTCTCCAGCCCTTCCCCTACCCATTGAGAAGGCAAGCTTTGTGATAACATTTATTCATGTGAAATCATGCAAATCACATTTCAGTATTAGCCATGTTGCCAAAAAAAAAAGGCAAGAAAAATAAAGTGAAAAAATTATACTTCAGTCTACATTCAGAGTTCATCCTGTCTCTCTCTGGAGGTAGAGAGCATTTTTCGCCATGCGTCCTTTAGAGCTGTCTTGGATCATTACCTTGATCAGAGCAGCTAAGTGTTTCATAGTTGTCCTTGTTCCAGTATCATTGTGGTTATGTACGCCGTTCTCCTGGTGCTGCTCACTTCACTTTGCATCACTTCATACAAGTCTTCTCAGGCTTTTCACAACAGTATTCCGTCACAACCATGTATCACGACTCATTCAGTCATTCCTCAACAGATGGTCTTCCCCTCAATTTTCAATTTCTTACCAATTTTCTTTATTCTTTTTGGAATACAGACTTAGCAGTGGTATTGCTGGGTCAAAGGGTATGCACAGTTTGATAGCCTTTGGGCATGGTTCCAAATCCAAAATGGTTAGATCAGTTCACAACCTCACCAACAGTGCATTAGTGTCCAAATCTTCCCCTTAACATTTGTCATTTTGCTTTTCTGTCATGTTAGCCAATGTGTATGGGGTGGTACTTCAGATGAGTTGTAATTTGCCTCTCCACCCCACCCCCATTTAGAAAGCATTTACTTTTAAATGGACGGGAAACAGATAAAAGAGTCTTACCACCTCTTTTGGCGCAAAGATTTCTGGACCATTTCTACTTAAGGCACATATCGATATATGGAAAGATATACAGAGAAACATAGATATGCCATGTCAGATGCCATGTCTGAACGTACATATACAGAGACAGAGACCTGAAGAGACAGAGATATGTATAGAAGCACAAATTTAGAGCTGGAAGGAACTTTGGAAGTAATCTAGTACAACCTCATTTTTTTTTAATTATTTATTTTTAGTTTTTAGCATTCACTTCCATAAGATTTTGAGTTTTAAATTTTCTCTCCCTCCCTCTCCGCCTCCCCTCCCCAAGATGGTGTATAATCTGATATAGGCTCTACTTAGGCATTCATATTAAGCATATTTTCACATTAGTCATGATGTAAAGAAGAATTAAAACTAATGGGAAGACCCACAAGAATGAAGAAATAAAACAAAACAGTTAAAGAAAAGGAGAGCAAATAGTCTGCTTCGATCCGCATTCAGACTCCATAGTTCTTTTTCTGGATGTGGATAGCATTTTCCATCATGAGGCCTTTGGAGATGTCTTAGATCCTTGCATTGCTGGAAAGGGCCAAGTCTATCAACATTGGTCATCGCACAACGTGGCTGTTATTGTGTACAATGTTCTCTTGGTTCTGCTCACTTCACTCTGTATCAGTCCATACAAGTCTTTCCAGGTTTTTCTGAAGTCTGCCTGCTCATCATTTCTTCTAGCACAGTAGTATTTCATTACATTCATATACCACAACTTGCTCAGCCGTTCCCCAATTGATGGGCATCCTCTCAATTTCTAATTCTTTACCACCACAGAAAGAGCTGCTATAAATATTTTTGTATGTGTGGGTCCTTTTCCCTTTTGTATGATCTCTTTGGGATACAGCCCTAGCCCTTTGGGCATAGTTCCAAATTACTCTCCAAAATGGTTGGATCATTTCACAACCCTACTAACAATGCATTAGTGTTCCAGTTTTCCCACATCTTTTCCAACATTTACCATTTTCCTGTTTTATCACGTTAGCCAATGTGATAGGTGGGATGTGGTACCTTAGAATCATTTTGATTTGCATATCTCTAATCAGTGGTGATTTAGAGCATTTTTATGTGACTGTAGATAGGTTTAGTTTCTTCTGAAAAATGCCTGTTCATATCCTTTAACCATTTATCATCTGGGGAATGGCTCTTATTTTTATAAATTTGACTCAGTTCCCTATATAGTTGAGAAATGAGGCCTTTATCAGAGAAATTTGGCCTAAAACTTTTTCCCCAGTTTTCTTGATTTCCTTCTAATTTTGGCTGCATTGGTTTTGTTTGTGCAAGATCTTTTTAATCTCGTGTAATCAAAATTATCCATTTTACTTCCTGTAATGCACTCTATCTCATGGTTATGATATCACACTTTATGTCTAAATCATTTATCCGTTTTGACCTTACCTTGGTATACGGTATGAGGTGTTGGTTAATACCCAGTTTCCGCAAAATTGCTTTTCAGTTTTCACAGCAATTTTTGGTTAATTTAACCAGTTCTGTTTTGTTTTGTTTTTTTCATAAAACTAGCTCCTGGTTTTATTTATTAGATCTTTTTTTAACTTTCAGTTTTATTAATCTTTTGATTTTCAGGATTTCTATTTTGGTGTTTAATTGGGAGATTTTCAATTTGTTCTTTTTCTGAGTTTTTTTTTAATTTCATGTTGAGCTCATTGATCTGCTCTTTCTCGCTTTTATTGATGTGTGCATTTAGAGATACAAATTCCCTGTGAGTACTGCTTTGACTGATTCCACAAATTTTTGTATGTTGTCTCATTGTTCTCATTATCTTTAATGAAATTATTGATTGTTTCTGTGATTTGTTCTTTGACCCACTCATTTTTTAGGATTATGTAGTTTCCAACTAGTTTTAAAGTAATTTAATCTTCCAAGGCCCTTTATTGAATGTAATTTTCATTGCATTATGGTCGAAAAAGTGTGCATTTGATGTTTCTGCTTTCCTGCATTTATTTGTGAGGATTTACATGGTCAGTTTTTGTGAAGGTGCCATGTACAGCTGAGAAAAAGATATACTCCTTTCTATTCCCATTTACTTCTCTCCAGAGGGCTACCATATCTAGTTTTTCTAAGCTTCTATTTATCTCCTTAACTTATTTATTTATTTTATTGTTAGATTTATCTAGTTCTGAGAGGAGGAAGTTCAAGTCCCTCACCAGTACAGTTTCACTGTCTATTTCCTACTATAATTTATTTAGCTTTTTTTTTTTCATTTGGATGCTCTGTCATTTTAATATTGATATTACTTCACTGTCTGTGGGACCTTTTAGAAACATGTAGTTTCCCTGATTATTCTTCTAATTAGGTCTGTTTTTGCTTTTGCCTTGTCTGAGGTCATGATTGCTACCCCTGCCTTTTTTATTTCAGCTGACACACAAGAGAGTCTACTCCAGCCCTGCATTTAACTCTGTGTGTGTGTGTGTGTGTGTGTGTGTGTGTGTGTGTGTGTGTCTGTTCCAAGCGCGTCTCTTGTAAACATCATGCTGTTGGGTGCTGATTTCTCGTCCATTCTGCTCTCTGCTTCCTTTGGTGAGTGAATTCACCCCATGCTCATTCACAGTGAGGTCCGCTAACTCTGTTCTTCTCTTTATCACTTTCTCTCTCTTCTGTACTGTTTGTCCTCAGAAGTCTGTTTTTGCTTCTGGCCATTGTCTTCCTTAACCTGCCCTCCTTTTTATCACTGCCACCACCATCCCCTTTCTTTTATCCCCTTCCCTTCCTATTTCCTTTTGGGTAAGATAGATCTCTCTACCCAGCTGAGAGGGTGTGGGTACATATCCTTCCATCTTTGAACCCGTTCAGATGAGAGGGAGGTCAAAGGGTTGCCCGCCACCCCCGTTTCTCCAAGAACTCTGCTGTGAAAAGCTCCTTGCACACCTCTTCTGTATGAAATAGTTTTCCCCATTATTCCCATCCCTTCCCCCTTCTCTCTTACCCCTTCATTTTTAAAAAAAATTATTCCAGCATAATCGACTCTCTCCCACCCCCTCTTTCTATGTAGAATCCTTTTGACTGTTCTGCTAATGTAGTAAGTGATGATAAAGTTCTTAGAAATTACATATATCATCTTCCTATATAGGAATGTAAACAGTTTAACCTTACTGACTCCTTTATGATTTCTCTTTCCTGTTTACCCTTTTATGCTTCTTTTGTGTCTTGTATTTGAAAGTCAGATTTTCTGTTCAGCTCTGGTCTTTTTATCAGGAATGTTTGGAAGTCTTCCATTTCATTAGATGTCCATTTTTTTTTCTGTGAAGGATTATGCTCAGTTTTGCTGTGTAGGTGATTCTTGGTTGTAATCCCAGCTCCTTTGCCTTCTGGAAAACATCCCAGCCCCCTACTCCTTTAATGTGTGATCCTGACTGCGGCTGCAGGACATTGAAGTGGTTTTTTCCTGCCTGCCTGCCTGAAGGATATTCTCTTTGACCTTCCAGCTCTGGAATTTGGCTAGGAATATTTCTGAGAACTTTCATTGTGGGATCTCTTTCAGGAGGTGATTGGCGGATTCTTACAGTTTCTGTTTTGCCCTCTCTTCTAAGATTGTAGTGCATCTTTCCTTGATACTTTCTTGAAAAATGATGTCTAGGCTCTTTTTGATCATGGTTTTCAGGCAATCCAGTAATTCTTAAATTATCCCTCTTTGATCAGTTTTCCAGGTCAGTTGTTTTTCCAGTGAAATAGTTCCTATTCTCTTCTATTTTTTCATTCTTTTGACTTTGTTTGATTATTTCTTGGTATCCCATGGAGTCGTTAGCTTCCACTTGCCCAATTCTAATTTTTAACGAATTGCTTTCTTTCCTGGGTGAGCTCGTGCTGTCTGATGTCTGCCTGCTCTGCCCACAGGCGGAGTGAAGCCAGAGGGCCATGAGGATGACCACGAGATGGTGAACATGGAGTACGCCTGCGACCACTGCCAAGGGGTGATCGTGGGCCGAAGGATGAACTGTGACGTGTGTGACGACTTTGACCTTTGCTACGGATGCTACTCGGCCAAGAAATACTCAGACAGGTACTTCCCGGGGACAGGCATGGCCAGGCTCCGCTCCCCTCCCCTCCCCTGTGACCCCGGCCTGTGCCACACGTGTCTTTCCTTTGCAGCCATTTGCCCAGCCATGGCATCACAGTCTACCCCATGGTGACAATTCGCACCAGTGACCGCCAGAGGCTTATCCAGCCCTACATCCACAACTATTCCTGGCTGCTCTTTGCCGCCCTGATGCTATACACCGCCGACCTGGCCAGTGGGGGCAAGGTCGAAGGGGAGAGGCCAGGCACTGAGGCCCAACAGGCCGCTGCCGCCCTACAGGGTCAGAGCCTGCAGCTCATCGGGGACTGCCTGGTGAAGGCACAGCGGGCCAAAGGTGAGGCCCTGCCCTCCCCACTCCCCAAACCAGCTTGTCTGCACCTTAACTGACCTTGGGGGTGTCACCTGGCCTGGTCTGAGGACCCTGCCTCAGTGTCCTGGTGTGCGTGCCTAACATTGAATGCTCAGGATGCCAGTTGAATGGAAATGCAGCCATCAGAAGGTTGTTGGGAAAGAGCACGCCCTGCTTGGGCCTGTGGGGCCTCGGGTGGCCTGGCGTGGGGTCACAGGAACAGGCCCGGCCTTCTGCCTCTTTCCTGGGTGGTTGGTGCATGAGTTCATTAGACTTGGTAATTAGTGACTTGGCAGGAGGGATCCGGCCATCATGATCACTGGCATTGATGCCTGGGCCTCAGAAGCGTCCCGGGGAGGCAGCTACCGTCGCGCTTGTATGGTGTCCATCTAAGCCAGGCCTGCACACCCTGTGGCCCGCGGACACCAAAGCATCTCAGGCGGCCTGCCAAAAGCGCAGAGGAAAACATCCTTTGTATGCAGAGGAAATCCTTTGGCAGGCCGCAGGCCTGTTCTAAGCCGTGACAGCCTATGACAGGTGTTGGGAGACACTGGAGGCAGGCGTGGCTGGCGGGTGTGCACATGTGTGCACACACACATGCATGGATGCACGGCCTCTGGTCGGCATCCCTGTGGCCGGTGTGATTGGCCCGGGCCTCGAGGAGTCTGCAGAGGCTCGGACCGTTGTGATCGAGGCCGGGGGGGCGATGGTGGAATCAGGCTCTGGGGTCGCTTTCCAACCCTCCCCGTGTGCACTTGAGAGCTGTTCAACCAAGGCCCTTCCCTCATCCTGTGACATGGGACCAGCAGGGGAGGAGGTTCTGGATCGCGAGGGGTGCGAGCAGCTCCCTGAGCGCCCCAGGACGGCCTGGGTCGGGCCTTCTTCTTGGGGGCTTCTCGGACCCTCTGTTTCTCACTCTTCTCTGTTGCCAGATGGGGCCTCGTCCTCGGAAAGCCAGATGATCCCCGTCAGCCGTTCTCAAGATGCTGCCGCCAAGGAGGCGGATGGGACAGACCAGGTAAGCGAGGCGGCTCCCAGAACGAGAACTCGTCCGCCCCGGAGCCCTCAGAGGGCCTCTGTAGGTGCGTCTGTCCCTGCCCCCAGCCCAGGACTGCTCACTGGCACACAAGGCTGCGGGATCACCGAACCTTTCTTCATGTTAGTCTGTGGGTGAGCCAGCAGCCATCTGCACGTCACGTGGATCGTCCGGAAGCTGCCGGATTCATCCTGGACGGGAGGGGCCGCCCTGGAGGGACTGGGGGCTCCTCGGGGAAGAGGCCAGGGGCTGGGCTGGCCCAGGCGCTGCAGCACCAAGTTGGAGTTCCTTGGCCCTAAGGCTCCCTTCCCTTACGCTTGCTTTCCTCCTTGTGTTAGGGCCAAGGAGACGCCCAGGACGAAACCCTCTCGTCAGGTGACAGAAGGGCCAGTCTGGGGGATGGAAGTCCGTCTTCAACAAAGGCGCCATCAGGCAGAGCCTCCCCTGACACCCCCGATGGTGTCCCAGGGCTTCCAGGTAGAGGCCGTTTCCCCCTCTCTTGCTTGGCGGTCGGTCTTGTGACGCCGTTCACACCCGGTCTTCCCTTCTCTTTGCCCAGTGTGTGTGCCGAGGTTGGCCCGTTGTCAATTCCTTGTCCTCCAGGGCCTCCCCTTCTGTGGGGGACCGCAGCGTGCGTATCTTACCAGTCCACAGAAAGTCGAGGACGAGATGGTCTTGTGATGAGACCAAGCATGGGAGGAATGAAGGCAGCCTTAGGTTGGGGCTCCCTGAAATGGGGCGGGCACAGCTCTCTGGAGTTGCATCTGAACAGACCTAGAGAAGGGTGGTCTGGTGGGCAGGCTGGCCAGGCCCACCCCCGGTGCTAGCCACGCCCTTCTCTCATCTCCCTGCCACTCTCAGCCTCACGTCACTACCCCCGAGGGTCCACAACACATTGAGGTCACCCCTCCCCACCTACCTCTCAGCTGAGAGCCACCTCCCGTCTCCCGTCCCCCATCCCAGGTGTCTGCCTTCTGCCGCCGGGTCCCCGTCGGCCAGGCACAGCCCTCTGCGGGCCCCAGTGGTCTCCTTCCATCCCTGCTCTCTCCCACACTCTGGCTGCTGCCTAAAGATAAGGCCCCCTCCCCACTGGGATCACCCCGGGTCACAGGGGATTGTGGATTATGGTCTACAGGCCATCCCCACACGCTGCCTTCTCCCAAGCCCAGATTCCTGTTCTGATGAGACCTCCTGCCCCCTGCCCTTGGCATCCCCAGCATCCCAGATCACTGCAGGGAGCTCTTCCTTCCTTCCTTCCCTCCTTCCTTCCTCTTTTCCCTCCTCCCTCCTTTCCTTCCTCCCCTCCTTTCCTCCCTTCCCTCCCTGCCCCCCCCCCCACCTTTGCCTCCTTCCCTCCAGGGCTTATGTTCTCAGGGCCCTGGCAGGTCCACATGGAGACAAGGTCTTGTCCCTGCCCATTGTGAAGCATGTTCACCTCCAGGTCACTCAGCTTTCTGGAGGACTGGGTTCCTAATTCGTCAGCCAGTCCACAAGCATTTCAGGTGCCCACAAAGGGCTCAGGCCTGGTCACATGAAAACAAAACAACCCTTGCCCCCAGGAATACCATGTACGTAGGTGAGGAAATTCAGGGATATTTGGGGAGGAAAGGCTCTGTATGGAGAGGGTGCCCAAGCTGGGTCTTGAGGAAGAGAGGGACCCTGGGTTCGTCTCGCCAGGGGCTTCTTGCCGAAAGCCCCACCTCTGCTCCATTTCTGACTCCAGCTGGTCACCTTTTCTCCACCCCGCTGGAACCCAGTAGTGCCTGGGCAGAGCCCTCATGCCTTGCTGACACCCCACCCCGTTCTCTGTGCCCCCCCGCCCCTCCTGGGCTTCCACTCGAAGGCCACACCGATCAGGACTGCAGAGTCCTGGCCCGAGCCTTCGGCCCCGGGGGGGGGAGCTCTTGCCTCCTGGCGTCCTGGGTGGCCTAGTCCACGTGGCCGGCCGGTCAGCCTCCTCCCAGGAGTGCCCATAGGCTCATGGTCCTCCAGGGGCACCTCTCTCATTTCTTCTTGCCGCCTCTTTGGTGCCGCCCCTCCCCTCGCTCTGTGGGCCTCAGCTTGGGTGCTCCTGGGCCTCCACGCTCAGCTCGTCTTTCCCCCCTCTGTTGCCTTTTCTGATTTTTCTTTCTCCTACTCACAAACCCATGTCACATACTGGCGCACTCAGCCAGAACCAACTCCCACACTGCCGTCCCCTCTCCACTGCTCACCTTTGACCTCAGGGGCATGGTTTGATTCTCACCCCCTTCAGTCCCCTTTGCTGCTACCCGGACGCTATCGCCGCGGTGCCACGGCACGTTTGTCTTCGTGGGCCAAAGGCGCTGTCTCCGGGTGGCCGGCCAGCCAGGGAACAGGGCTGTTCTGGTCTCTGCTCCAGAGACCCTTCTGGCCCTTGCCAGGAAGGACCGTCCAGAAGGCCTTGCTACCTGGAGCTACCTGGAGTGGCTGGATGGGCTCAGTGCCCACTAGCCACGGAGGTCTGCAGACCCACTGTTCTCACACGGAACCCGGTGACAACTTTTTGGGCAGATGGCTCCCCTGTCATGGCATCACTGGAATAACTTGGATTTTCACAGTCTCTAAAATTACCTGATTCTTCCATACAGGTACTTCCTCTTTGAAGACAGTGGAGGAGAAAATTGTAGCCCTGAGCCCCGAGCAAGTGTTTGCAGAATGTTCCCAGAAGAGAATCTTGGGATTGCTGGCTGCTACGTTGCCACCGTTACAATCAGTAAGAAACGTGGGGGGACTGGCAGGGCAGGGGGTCATCGTGGTCAGTCCGGACCGTTGGAACGATTGAAAGAATTGGCCTTCTGTCCTCTTGGGCGATCTTCCTGTAGATTGGGGTGAATCTCTGGAGTCCTGGGCAGCCGGGGGGGAGGTATACCGCAGTACAGCGTTTGAGGTTCAGTCGTGTGCGTGCCGGCTGCGCGTTGCTTCATTGGCCATCCCCAGTTGTGGCTGCTTAGCTCGGCTGCTTGGGAGGAGGAGGAGGAGGACGAAGGAGCTCGTTGCGTCTCTGTGGCTCCAGGCTTGGATGGAGAAAGGTGGGAGAACAACGTGGAGTTCCACACCTGTTCAGGAAGACCTTTGGGGACACAGGCTTGGCCGCTGACTGGGCTTCTAGCCTTGTCTGGCTAGACAGAAGGCACCATGTTTTGAATTTTATTCGAGTATTTCATGTAGAAAACAAACACCTTCACACCAGCCCACAGCTTAAAAATTAGTCAGTTTGGGCTGAGCGGCCATTGGGCGCCCTGCCAAGGGTTTGGCCTTCGAGGGAAAGCAGACCTGCGTTCCGGTGGCATCCCTGACTGCTCCGGGCCCGCCTGAAGGCCTTCTCCACACGGGTCTGCCCCAGACATGCCTTTTGGCAGGCGCGGCAGAGCCCTGGCCCTTCTCGGTAGCTGGGGAAAGCAGAGTCTCCTGCGGTCTGGCGGCGGCTCACCTGGTTTTCCTTCTGGCAGGGCTCCGCCGTCTCCTGGGCAAACCTGGACCACGTTCTGCCCCTGATGCTCCGCGTGGTGATCTCGAACGCAGGCCACCTGAATGAAGCCTACCACTTGACGCTGGGCCTGCTGGGCCAGTTCATCATCCGGCTCCCGCCGGCCCAGGTGGACGCCGCGGTGACTGCAGCCCTCTCAGCTGGACACGCCTTGTTTTCGGCCGGGGATGGGTCCGCTGCGCCCGAAGGCTGGAAGACGGTTCACCTGCTCTTCAGCCTAGGAGCCGTGTGCCTGGACAGGTGACCTGACACGCCCCTTCCTGGCCTGGCGGGCGGGTTCACCAGATTTGGGGAAGGCGGTATCTCCGTCGTTTGGGTCCTCCAGGCGCCCTGGGTGTACGTAACCCGCCGTGGAACACGCGCCCTCCCGGGATGGCCCCGTGTGGGGGGTGGGGCTTCCTCGGGGCAGGCCTGGCACCCCCGGCCACAGGGGGAGGCCTCACTGCCCTCTCCTGTCGGTCCGGCAGCCGCGTGGGCCTGGACTGGGCGTGCTCCATGGCGGACATCCTGCGTGCCTTACACGGCTGTCCCAAGTGGCGCAGCGTGGTGGCGGCTTTCACGGAGCACTGCCTGAAGCAGCTGCCCTTCCAGCTAAAGCACACCAACATCTTCGCGCTGCTTGTGCTCGTGGGATTTCCCGAGGTGGGTCTTCCTGTGCCGTCCGGTGGTCCTGGAGACGTGTGCCCCCTCGAGGCATGGGATGCCCAGAATGCAGTTACATGCCAGACGATGGGAAGGCCTCCTGGAATAGCAGGGGGGAGGGCCTGAGCCAGGCCCGCGGTGGGCAAAGGCTCGGGGGTGGGAAGGCCAGGTGTCTGCCGTGTCACAGCCCCTGCATCTCCCAGGTGCTGTGTGTGGGCGCGCGCTCCGTGTACTTGGACAACGCCAATGAGCCCCACGACGTGATCGTCCTCAAGCACTTTACGGAGAAGAGCCGGGCCGTCGTCATGGACGTGAAGACCCGCAAACGGAACACAGGTTCTGACCGAGAACGGGAGGACAGGGAGTGTTGGGGCTCCCCCGTGGGTCCCCATTTTCATTTCCCCCAGCACAGACCCGAGGTGTGCACCAGGCCACGGCCACAGCCACAGTGGAGGTGTGTGGAGTGCTGGGCTTGGGCGTTTTTGCGGTTCCCCTGGCAGTGCCGCGAAAATGGGCCACTATGAGGCTCAGAGAGGTCAGGGCCTAGCTGGACTGGCCTGGAAAGGGCCTGAGGCAGGCAGTGTTCCCAGCTCCCAGTCTGCTGCCTTGGTCCCTGGACCATCAGTGACTGACAGGCAGAGAAGGAGGCCCTGCCCTCGGGGCGCTTACAGTCTGTGCCTCCAGAGAGATGGGTTTTGGCGGGGAGGCAGCCGTGAGCCGAGGGAGAAGGGGCCGCACAGAGCGCTGCCCACGCCAGGAGGAGTCACATCACTGCCCCCCAGCCTGCCGGTGTCTGAGCAGAGCTGCCCTCATTAGACACGGAGGGAGCCATGGGGCTTCCCGGGAGGGACCGGCACGTGATGCCCTCTCCTCCTTGTTTCAGTCAAAGACTGCCAGCTGGCGCGGCCATGCGACCAAGGGAGCGCGGCCTCGAGTGCACCGCTGAGCACACACCTGCACTACTTCACCGCCATCAGCAGCCACCTGCTGCAGAGCAGCCTGGACCGCGGCTGCGCCGAGGCCGTGGAGGCCACCTGGGTGCTGTCCTTGGCGCTTAAGGGCCTGTACGGGACCCTGAAGGTGAGAGGGAGGGCGAGGAGGCGTGGGACGTGTGGGGGGCTGAGGGTAAGTGTGCGTGAGTGTGCGATTGTGAGGGTGTGTGTGTGCAGTTGTGAGTGGCGTGTGTGATAGGGTGTAGTGTGTGCATGGGTGATTGCATGTGCAGTAGTGATTGTGAGTGTGTGTGGTGTGTGATTGTGCGTATGTGGTTGTGAGTGTTGCATGTGATTGTGTGTACGTGTGTGATTGTGTGCATGTGTGTGTGATTGTAAGTGTGCGTGCGCAGTTATGAGTGTGTGGTTTGTGTGTATACGTGCATGTGTGGTTGTGTGTGCATGTGTGATTGAGTGTGTACATGCATGTGTGATTGTGTGTATATGCAGTAGTGGTTGTGAGTCTGTGTGATTGTGTGCGTATATGGTTGTGTGTGCGTGTGTGGTTGTGTGTACGTGTCTGTGTGTGCGTGTGTGTGACTATAGGTGTGCGTGCAGTTATGAGTGTGGTTGTGTGTGTGAGTGTGTGTACATGCATGTGTGGCCATGAGTGTGGTTATGAGTGCGTGCATGCACCACATGCGCGTGTGGTCGTGAGTGTGCGTGTGTGTGCATGTGTGTGATTGTGTGTGCATGCATGGTTGTGTGTGAGCCGGGGCCAGTCCTGGATGAGGGGCTGTGGCCATGTGTCTCCCCCGAGGCTTTGGGCTGTGGCCCCTGTGGCCCGGTGGCGGGCCTGACACCTTGTCCTCCACGTGGCAGGCTCACAGTTTTGAAAGAATCCACGCGGTCTTCCTGGAGTCGGGCTTACTGAAGCTGCTGGTGAAGAAATGCAGTCGAGGCACTGGCTTCAGTAAAACGTGGCTCCTGCGTGACTTGGAGGTGAGGGCCTGGGACGGTGCACAGGGGCATCATGGCCTCCGACCACAGAGGGCAGAGAGAGGCCAGAGCCGGGCCTCGTCTCAGGCTTTTCTCGTGGCAGATCCTGTCCGTCCTGCTGTACTCATCCAAGAAGGTCCAGCAGGAGCCTGGGGCTGGGCCTCCACAGCCAGGCAGCCCTCCGGGGGACACGGGGCCGAGCAAACCTGACCCACTCGAGGGCCTGGACGAGGCCACCAAAGTCTGTTTCTTGGTACGTTCCTTTCCGTCCCCTCTGGGCAGCAAGAGGACCAGGAGACCCTGGGTACAAGGGCTGCCTCGGCGCATCTGGCTGTGCAGTCAGAGCCGAGTAGCGCCAACCAGCCACCAGACCTCCACTCCCGCAGTGCATTGAAATAGCAAAGGGATCTGGCGGTCCAGGGCTTCGGGACAGGTGAAGGGAGTGCCCGAGTAGCTGCTGCACCAGCCGGCCGGGCCCGGGCTTCCGCCTCAGGGTCTCTGAGAGCCCCACACTCTGTGCAGGGGCCACACTGCCCCGCAGACCAGAGGCGGCTTGTCGTGCGTGGGAGCCCTCGTTTTCACCCTAATCATCGGCCAGTGTCCGTTTCCTAAATCCAGGTGAACTTTTGGTTTACCAGAAGGGGGCGTGGTTACCTCCTCCTCAGGAGGGCTCCGTCCTCCTCAGACACCACCCCCCTTCTCTCTCTCTCCCTCACTCATTCTTCTTTCTCATCTTCCTCCCTCCCTCTCTCTTCTGTCTCCATCCTTCCTCTCCCTGCTTTCTCCTTCCTTTTACTTCTCTCTTTCCTCTCCTTTCTCTCTCCCCTTCTCTGTCTCTCACTCTCCTCCCCTCTTCTTTCTCTCTGTCTCTCACTCTCCCCCCTCTTCTTTCTCTCTCTCTCTCGCTCTCCACCTCTCTTTTTCTCTCTCTCCCTCTCTCCTTCCCTCTCTCCTCTCTCTCTGTCTCCCTGCTGTC